GCCCATGAAATGATCGTAGAGGCATGAAACTTGAAGAATATAATCTGCGTATGGAGTAGATATCCGATAAGAAATGAATTTCCGATAATGATTCGGTAAAATCGAATTTATTTTTAAATCGTTCGGTCGTTGACATGGAGGATACTTTTTCTTCCGGAAAGTTGACATAGGACCAATCTATTTGGAAACTGTGTACTTATCGTTTGATTTACGTAACATTTGGTATATAGGTGGAGTTTAGCCGGCAAGTGAATCTGGGGCCTATGTATTAAAAAAAAGTTGTATATGTGATTTTGCCTTATATTTGGGAAATATATATACACGTATGCCTAAGTTAATATAAGTAGAACTTTCTCGTATAGATATATTCGGAAAAATTGTACTTTCCAATTCAAATATTCAAATAATTTAACATAATAATTCATAGGATAGAATAAAGCAGAGAACGTAAAATTAAACGTAATAAAATGTATTAGAAAGATTTTTTGATTCCATGCGGACGAAGTCGCTTGTAAAATCTAGTTCGGTTAAAAAAAAAGTATAAGTTTATTTGTATGACTTTCTTCATTTGTGCGCCGCTATAATTAAATAATATCAGATAAGAAATAATGCATAAAGTTATTCTCTATTAATTTGCTAGTTTATGTAATAACACCACACATAATAAAAACGAAAAACTTATAGCCAAACAAAAGACTGAAATACGACTACACTTTAGGTATGGCTAAGAGCCGCTGAAAAATTATTGTTAAAACAAAATTATACTATAGATTATACATATGTTTGTATGCTCCATCTAATTGACTTCATGTTTTTTACACATACAGTACATGTATTTACATAAATAGGCGCCACAAACTCTCTTCTCTTTAGAATCCCTAAATAGCATTTTAACATACTTTAATTGCATCAGACATTCGATACATACGTGTACATTCTGTACATCGATTTTCTAGTATGTGTACGCATGCATAAAGTTAAATAATAATTTAGTAAAGCTATTGAATTTAATACCGTCTCTTAGTTTTTAATGAAGTCGAATGTTTCCGTTATTGGGAAGAGGGTGTACTTATGGTTTATATCAACAATTTTATTATGTGCGCATCGGCTCAGGATCGAACGAAGTGAACTAAACTGCGCTTTTATACTTGGTATTTTTGGAAACTATATATTCACAATTTTCGATTTTTAGCGTTTTTAAAAAACTGTGACACTTAAAGAGGACTGGGGCTTTGAAAATATTGTCAGTTCAAACCTTATTTCTGGTCTACAGAGTTCGAAACACTTTTGGGATGGAAGGTTAGTCGAAGAACTCCTCGTTGTTTTTGTAGAAGGCTTAAGTTATACGCTCGCTTTGGGATCATTGTTACTCAGTTAAGTTTTAAGTGCAATGTTAACTGCGTACATTGAAGAATGTCATACTCAGTGAACTAAGGGTAAGTATTATCAAGCTGTGGGGATAAAATAGTTTAAGCCATCATAACAGCGAATTTCGCATTAATCAAACAAATTCAAGGAATTAACAAAATAACAAAAAATTAACAAAATACATGTTGTAATCTTTTTTAACAGTCGGACAGTGGCAGGACTGGAAAGATGTGTATAACCTAATATAAATTCACCAGAGACTCGAACTGCATAGACGGTCATGTCTCGTAATCAGGAAAACATGGACATGTATAAGTAAGCGCCAAATTCCCAAAAAAGAGCCTTTTATGAAATTAATTGTGCTGAAATGTTACAGAGAAAGATAAAGAAAGCGCAATAGTTATGGCTTGACTCATAAGTTTTATTTAAATACAAATTAGTTCGATCATCTCATATCTGTATCATCATGGTATTGCAATAGGTCAAGAAGCCTAAACGCGCCTAGTGGAGTAACTAAAACCATCCTCGTATTATACATATATATGTATGTACATATTTGAACACATACATACATATCTGCATATGCTTATGAACACATCTCTATGTATACATGTTAGTAGTGTACGTAGTTTGTGTTTTAAACAGGTAAAATACGGTGACATATTTAAACTTTTCCATTTTGAAGAATCAAATGATCGGAAAATGTAAATATTGCACATAATTAAAGACCCTCTATTATGCCCTTACATTTACTCAACAGAAAAGGATTATTTCTCAACAAAACGCATATGTATTTATACGTACCAAATAAGTGTACAAAGGCCAATGTAAACGCCAAATAATTACCAAGGAAGGAATACATACTTACATACATACATATTTGTTTAGAGTCTTAGTCCTTAACAAATAGAATATGTACACAGCACCAAAATAAATATTCGCCATGCCGGTATGTATGTACTCATTTTCAATTTTAGCTTAGAGAATTTTTCAATACGCACGAAAGTACTTAATGAGACTAACAATTTCACATGGCAAATATAAGAAGAGAACTGAAATATAAAAAGAATCAGCTATATTTGCAAAGAAAATTAGCTGTTCTAATTATAGTATAAAATAATTTACCAAGAAAGAAACAACTCTATTCATAAAAAAAATTCTGAGCTATTGTCTGCACCAGCATCGATAAATATGGATTTTGAGTATATTTTTTAATTGTACTTGTTAATTTTATTAATAAAATAGTTAATAGAATATTGAAAAGTTGCTTACATGTTTCGTTAAACTGCCTTAACCGTGTTTTAAATATATTCCTAATTTTCAGCACCCTTGAGTTGAGATACCAAAGCCTCTGCTGCACTAGCCTGACACTATACCTGACAGTAACAACCCCTCAGTCCACGGCTTAAAACAATGCGCTCCGCAGTGTAGTATAAATACAATAGCACATACATACCTACAGCATACTGGTAAGCTTTCATTTTTATATTAATAGTATTGAATTAGATTTTCTACATCCTAGTCATGGTTTTTATTGCCTGTTGAGATCAACTCGTAAGTGAGATCTTGTATATTTTGTTGTCTCTTAATTCTATCATTTATATTTATAATTTAGTCAAACAGAAAATTCGTCTAAATATTTCATGACCTGCAGAAAATATAGCGAACCTACAATAACATCCCTATCTACATGTTTTCTATAACTTTACGTTGTCTTATCTAGCAAGCATAATGTATTAAAATAATAGTTTTTCTAATCAAGCAAAAGAAAAATGTGTATAGGCCATTACAAGAAATATTTAAAAAATTTACAAATCATAGTAAAAGAGTCCTCTTTTAAGCACAACTTAAAAATATATCATTAGGATATGTGAAAAACAAACGAATATTTTTAATGGCATAGGTACTACGCGTTGTTTTATATGTATTTCCCGAGAATTTTACTAGCAAAAGCCGCCAGCGATTCAAAAATAAAATGGTTTGCATGTTGAGCGAATGGTATGGCAATAACATTCTCCAAATTATATCTTGGAACATGTTTTTATTTCACAAAATTAAAAATATGTAGAATATTTAGTTAGTTAAAAAACAATTTCGCAAATTTCACATAAACACACGCAAATATTTCTTTCAAATGGTTTCACAGGAATTACCTTTGACATACTTGTACATATGTAGCTTACATAAAACCTTTTCTATAACGGAATCCTGTTGGAGTAAAGTCAAGTCACATTTTACGTTGCATTAAGTTCGCCATTTGCTTACTTGAAAACTGAAGCAAAACAGTTAATAAGACTTTATGTTACGATGTATCTACTATAAATAGTACAATTCTTTTATATACAGTCCGATTCTTTTAAATTTATTCGCCTCACGTAATTTTCTACCTCCAAGAAGCGGCAAAATATCAACGCATAATTCACCAACTCATACTTTGTTCTTAAATGTTATCAATGCAAATGCAATGTTATCAGTGCTCTACCATGATCGCGAATAAGTACGCGACCAAGACCAGTAAATTATTTCTTACCACCTTTGCGGCATAAAGAATCTAGAATGTGCAAGAAATATAAAATTATCTTTGAATGCTTCACGTTAATCAGCTAGTTTGTATGTATGTACAAGCTGATGATAGTCGAAAACCAGTAAGAAAGGGTTAAGTTCAGGTGAAACCAAATATAAAATGTCCGTTTTTCCCAAAGGTTGGCAGTGCCTCAAATTTTTATGTCTGTAGCTTGAATTGTGCCGAGTTTCCACGGTCTATTTTTTTTTAAATATGTACCTCCCAAGGAAAATGTGAATATCAAGATATTTAAAATTTTAACCACCCATCACACGTACAGCGGAGCGAACAGTCAGACAACTGTAATTCGTCTTGATATTCTATATAGTTTGTTAATACATCCATCCTGAATATTATATGCTGTTATGTATTTGTAACTGACAGCAGTGCAAAGTTTATTTTAATCATAGTTGCTCAGAACAATTCGTAGCACATAGAAGAAAACTGATCCACCCTAATAAATGTGCATATACATATTATATATATATATATATATATAAATATATATATATTAAATTAATTGAATGCAATTGTAATACATTTCGTCAATTTCTTAAACGATCGTATGCACATATAGGCATGTGAATATTCAGTACTCAAATAAACACACTTACTGTATAATTTTATTATGTGTATTTGTATGTTCATCTAAAGGGAAACTCATTTACGCACGCAGTTGTTAAATTTTCAGATTACTCGGTATTTTTATTGGTCGTTTATTTTGTTTATATACACCGGTGATTGGCTATTGACTGTTCAGCTATTTAAAAAGAGCAGCAGTGAAGTCTTGTTTGCACTGCTCTCACGACTGTGCTTAACTCTAACTCTACTTGGTCACTTTCTGATCATCACGAAATATATTTCTTTCCCTTTCATTCAAACGTATTCTCAAATAAACAGAAAATATGAACAGTGATCTTGTCTGCTGTGGTTGTACGACTTAGTCACCCTATGAAAATAAAACAATACTACTAACAACAAACCATGTACGACTGTGATGACGACGACATTACCGACATAATTTTTGAACTGAAGCGAGGAAGGTGAGACCAAATCGTTTCCGTGTCAGTTTGGCGATAGCATTGAATCGGGTAACAGTATTGTTCGTACTGATAAATAATTTGGCATTCATTTTGAAATTTTTAAAAGAAATTTAATGCGCGTTTTAAGCCAATCATAAATTAGTTTACTAATCTAAAATAGCAGTAATTGTTATTTATATTATGTACACGTATACGTACATACATATATATATGATGTACGAATCAATGCTCGTCACATACGTTGAATGATCTAATTATATTTTATACGCAATCAGATCACGTGTGAAAATTGTAAAATTTTGTGAGTGTGAATATTATCAAAATTTAAATCTACATACTACCTACTATGGATTGGCACGGAACAAGTGTTGTGTAATTAGCATTACTCAAAAAAGTAATTGTAAATAGTGGAAGATTGTAAATAGTATACAAATAAAAGCGTCTCATATCAATGGTGTGAATGTTTGGCTAACGAAGCTAGCTAAACTAGAAACAACTTTCATTTTAACTAAAACACTAAGATACAAACATAATTGGAACAATGGATTTATCAACAATGCTCTACGTATATTTACTAGTAATGTGTACGTACGCAACAACGGAGAGTAAACCGAAACCTGGACGTGGAAGAGGATCCATGTGGTGGTTAGTAAAATGTTCAGATGATATAGATGAATGTTAATATATTTTAAGTTCGTTTCTTAAGTCTTCAGTTTTATCCCTTTAAAGCTACTACCTTTCCAAGTATATTAATAGCAAAACAACAGTAAAGTAAGTCTAATTTAATTAATATAAGAAAATAATAAAATAAATATATACTATGAGCAATAGCAGTGTCCAATGCTATTTGATAAAAAGGCATTGTACTATGTCAAATCATACATGCATAATCATACAGACATAATTAAGATACATTTTCTTAACTTAATTAATTTGCTTATTTGGTTAATTTCTAGACAAGCCTTTCTTCAATAAAAAATTATTACCCTCAATAAATATGGTGAATTCAATGACAACCCTTTTAAATGAATCATGACAATTTTGCAGACAAAAGCCACCTTTATAAGTTTCAATAGATACTATATTTATATATAGATACGGTCGCAATAGCCGATTGGTTAGCATTGCTTACTGAATTTTTAAAATTCGCTCCTAGGCAGGTAATGTCAAGCCCTCCTAGTGTATTTCTGGTATGAAATAAAAGCTCCCCATAAAAATACATCGGCCGTACGGAGGCAGAAGCGGAGGCAGCCGTGGCGGTTACAAAGCGCCAATTATATAGTTATGTATATACTTTCAATATGGCCTGACAAGATCCGCATAAAATAAATATACAATTGTTCTTAAGCCAGGCGTGACATTGCAGCGAGCAATGCTTAACTTTATTTGACTTTAAAGAAATATTGTCTTCAACAACTCACCTAAAGCTGTATTTAAATCTATAGGCACAGAAGAAATCGAACTGAAAACTCGGACGAATGTAGCTGGAGTTATTACAAAATGTCAATAATGTCACTACCTGACAACAAACTACAATATTCTCTTCTGACGTTATTTATTCTTTTTTTTATTTTAATATTTTTCTGCGTCTACAAAAATACAAAAATACAGGTCAGCTACACTTGCGTAAGCGTCGCCTGTGCCAATTAAAAGATATAAGAAAATAATACATAAGAAAGAAAATCAACTATTTTAACTTCACGTAAGGTTGAAGTTGCCGAAAAAGTAAGGTTTTGCGAAAGTTCAAAGGGAGTTCTTATTCAGAAATTTCATTCATAGGTATAACATATATGCTCTCCTCATCATTTTTTATTATTTTAAGATTGATTTATAATTCCTTTTGATTTAGTATGAGTACCTTTAAAGCGCTTTGTTTCAAGGATTCCCTAGAGGCTTATGGTGTTTGTCTCTGCAAACGAAGGGACTTGACAGTTTTAAGCCATAACGAAAGATTAATGGATTTGTGCGCAAAACTTTTATTTTTATCACAAATATACACTCGTTTATATGGATAAAGTTGCCCACCTTAATAATTTTTTAGGTTTTGTTATGCTTACAACTTATACCTGCGACTTGTTGTTCTTAGTACACATTGCTACCCACTGGACTACATAATTTTAGATAACTCGTGGTTACAAGTAGTTTACTCTTTCCGAGTTGAAACTACACATTAAATTAACTTTTTATATATACTAAGTGGATGATCTAAAACGATGAAAAATTATTTCCAGCTTCGAAAAAATTTTGAGTACGTTCATAAATTTCAACATTAGAACATATATCTATTAAGTGACACTCATTGTGAAAAATTATTCAATTGTAAGATTATTTAGTTTAAAAGAAGGAATATGGAGCTGAATTACCAGCAATGCAATCTTCAGTTTCATTCTTCCTTTTTTCGATCTAATTAATCAGTTTCATGTGCAAATAAATTGGTGGTTATGAAATATGTATATGGTGGGTAAGAGTTATGTATACATGTTATGCAAAACCCAAGTTTCAAAAGTTATTACTGCCATCTTCTCTGAATCTCTTTTGCATATTTTCCGCATTTTTTTTGTAAGAACGGAAGTAGCGCACATCTAGCTAAATTTTTTCTATCGTTTCTTGAATAATAGAATTTTTTTAAATTAAAATTAATTTATTTTTTCTTTATAGGGGAATAGCTAAAGTGGGGGAACCAAACAATATATCACCACTTAGTTCTGGTATTATGTACATGGATCCAGCTATACATTCCACACTACGAAGAAAACAACGACGTCTAGTTCGTGACAACCCTGGCGTTTTAAGTGCTCTTGTGAAAGGAGCGAATCTTGCCATAAGTGAATGCCAGCATCAGTTCCGAAATCGACGCTGGAATTGTTCAACTAGGAACTTTTTACGTGGGAAAAATTTATTTGGAAAAATTGTCGATCGAGGTAAGCACAATAGATGTATTTAAAAAAAATTTTTGCAAATTTTAATACATGTATTTGTGATTAAAATTTATAACTAATCCCATATCCATAAATGTCGGTAAATCATCACTGGAAATTAAATAAAAAGCTTAAGAATAACTCAAATTTTTAATAAAATCAAACAATTTATAAATTTATTTGATATTTTCGTAAGAAATTATAATAATTATAATAATCTTGGAAAAAATTGACCACTTTGGTAAACGGAAATATTGTGCAATATTTTTTGAGAGAAGCAACTAGGATTTGCCTGAACACCTTATTCCGTAGTAAACTCGACCACACTCGAAGAAAAAATCTCACAGTAGGATGCTATATATACCGGTTCAAAAGCCGCCTTTCACGTTATTAACACATAAGGTTTTCTTGTTCACACCACGCTTAATAAGAGAATCATTCTTAAGCTGTCAGCACTCACGCTGTCTGCGCTGTTGTGCGGCGGTGCTGTGAAACTAATGAAGATATCATTTACAACATAATAGCTGACTTCTGTTCCTTTTTTGCTTTGAATAGTTTTGTCAATCTTTTAACTTGATGACATTTGGATGCTGATGTGTTTAATGAAATTGGTTCTGCATCAAAATGCAACTACAACTTATCACATGAACAAATATGAATGTATGTATGTACAGTTTTGCGCATGGATCCATTTAACACATATTTGCTATCTTAATTTTGTTGAAACCTTACTAAATTTTAAGTCCTGTAGTACCATGTAGCATCCTCTGTACTGTAATGCCAGCGGGATATTTGTCAGTTCAGCATGTTTCCTACCCTGCTGCCTTTTTGCTGTCGTTTTCTTCATGCAAACATTTTCTTAGCATGACCACACACATTTAAGAGAAATTATGTCTTGTGCTTCCCAACATTTTTGCAGGTATAGATACATACATAGATATATTTGTGTCCGTATTATATGAGCTAACTCAAATTAATCACTCCTAGAATTTTCAAAGTTGGTCAAACCACTAATTATATAGGGTAGAGCTATTCACATTTGTTTTACGAACAATACATACATATACATACATGCATGCATGCTAACCAACACTCCTTGAAAATCAGCTCGTCGTCTTGTAATAATCTCAAAACAATAGCGGATCATCATTTTCAAAACGGTATTTTTCTGTGGAATTCACATCGGAATTATGTTGTTGCCGTTGGGGTTTTTGGGATATTTTCGACCGATTTGCCCTCTAAAAGCTTTAATCAGTGAAAAGGTTAAAGCCCGATCACAATATTTAAATTGTTATTAAGTAAGAAGGTACTAACATGAGACCCTGCTGTTTATTAGGAGGAATACATTGAAATGGTGATCATCTGTTATAAGGGATGAAGCTGCATTATCGACTCTTACTTACCGAACGCCGCATGTAGTGTTTTAATTGAAAGACTTGGCTTGTATATAGTCGAGTTTAAAAATATGCAATTTCCTTTAATTAAATATGTTAAGAAGCTATAAGTTGCGGTTATTATTGTATTATAGATTAAGAAAGTATCATCATACTAATAAAAGAAATGAAACACTACTGCAATATTAAAAACCAAAATCTCAGTAAGCACTTATTCAGCTACATATGTTCACATATAAGTGTTTTTAACTGATATTTCTTGATAATAATAAACCATAGGCTGTGCTTTCCATTATGGTTCCAACGCTTGTTTCAGCCAAAATAATTGACCAATCCTATTGAAATTTTCAGGAGTTGTTGCTGTTGATCTTATCTATGTTTATTTATTAAAATTAACACATAAATATTTATAAATTATATATAATTTGTTGTTAATAAATTTACACTTTCATCACAAATATTTACTTAGCACGTGCACTTATTTAACATACATGATGTAAAATAGTAACTTCAATCTGTTCACATGCGATTACTAAAAATTGTTGTAATTTTATTTCACTTGGTTAGCAGTAAAATATTATTTTATTTTTGTATATTATTTCGATATTGTTTTTCAATATGAATGTCCGACAATAACAATATGTGGGTGTNACTATAGTTGTTTTATTTTAGAATTTCTTTTTTATATGTGGCAACACCAAAATTCACAGTAATGACACTTTGTACAAAATAATAGGGTAAAAATTCGATTTTTTTGCTATTTTAAATGTAAATATCTCGAAAACTAAAGGTCTCCGGTAGGTTTGGTTTTCGGTTTCTGAGAGAGGGTGGAACCCCCTACCACCCCTTATAATTCATTTTTCCCAAAGCCTGGAACCATAATGGAAAACTTTCCCAAACCATATATGTATAAACTTATGCAGAGGTACTAACCTAGAGAGAAGTAAATAATAATAATATTGAAATTTTGAAATGTGAAAATGATGAAGAGAGATTTAAAACGGAAATAATCTATGTCCATCAGTAAATACAATGAGTTTTATACAATGAGTTTTATACACATATATGTATGTATGATATGACATCCAATAGGCCCGGAAACAATTTTAAACATTCATGCACTCGCAAATGTATTTGAATATATATAAAGACCTTCATAAACATACATGTGTACAATATGAACAAGTAAAAAAACTAAATTCCCGGATAATGTGTCTTAACTGGATCAACCATGATAATACCTTCTTTTGTGTCGATGGCTCGATATATTTATATATGAACAAGCTAAGTAAATACAGGCGCAGGCCTTAAAGCTAAAACAGCTTATGTGCATATCTGGAACAACAAACACGAGTTATTGTGCCCGCGTATAACTAGTACCCATCGGCACTAGAAACGAGATATGTACATGTCATTGTTCATATTTAAGTGGCTGAATATGAGTATATGATTGTACATATGTACAAACATATGTGCACGACCATAAATGTACACACACTTCAATATATACAGCTGATCGTACGCGTGCGACTGTTTAACAAATTGGGTGCCGCTTAAAAAGGATCAACATCAGCAAATACTGATCAAAGATGATACAAGTGCTTGCGCCATTGTCCACATTGAGCCAGAAGTGCCTAATATTGTACAAAACAATTGAGCGAAATGTAGACGTCCGGACCCAAGACTTTTCCTTAACAATAGTAAACGACAGAAAAGGTAGGCAAGGACTTAAATGAATGCCGGTAGCGTTAAGCATTTGCAGCCCTTCAGCTGTGATCAATTTTATAATTATAGCGCATGCTCGCATTCACTTAAGTACATTCATACGTACATATATATCTGCAGAGATTAAAATGAGAAGCAACGGTATGTATTAGTGTATTCTGATGCGAGTATAATACCTATTGTGTTTCAGTTGGTAGGTAATTTCATCTAGTAGCAACACCCACTATATTATATTTATAAAAAGAACTTTCCACGCCCGCCTTTTACATATTATCATCAGCTAATGCATTTATAAACATACACACATACATACGTATGTACACATGAGCTCAAATACGTAAACAATTTGAATTTACGTCAATTAAAGTTATAATTATATATGCATTTGCTTTCCAGTATGGTCGTAGTCCTGAGGACATGCTAGAGAAATATACATAGATATCATCTAACGGATGACATTATTTAAAAATCGTTTAATTGATTGGTAAACGAATTAATTTAATGTCTACAGTAAGGATGGCTAATGCTAACAATTATATTATACATAAGAAATTTTGGCAAGCTGAAATATTTCTTTCACGAAGATGTCCTCTCTTTTGCATAGAACATTCCTCTCTCAACGATAGAAAAGTGATAATTATTGTACTTACACAACTTATAAATAATTATTCAAAATGCATAATTTTTGATTAAATTTCTAGATTTACATTTTAATCATATTTGCACCTCACAAAAAAAAATAATAAATAATACAATATGTCTGAGGAGAATTTGGTATGGTGTTTTATTTACTGCGATTGGTTACGACTAACTTTAATGAGTCAAAGTACTTTCTGAATATATCCACTTCCCACGACAAATATTTATTTTTGTGGGTTTTCCCAAAGACCTTAAGATACGTACAGATATATATATATACTTGTCGACGCATGCGAAATATAATATTTATAAAAGAGGTGTGCCAAAAAATATTATAATAAACAAGTAAGTCATATTATGTTTGTATGGATCAGTCTGCCAACAACCAGTAATTTAGAGCACTTATTTGAGTCGGTGTAATGGAACTGTTAAGTTCATTAGCCATTTCGTAAGTTTGCTTCTCTGCGAGAAACGGTTATACTTCCGAGTAAACTTTTGAAAAGAAATAAAAAACTTCCCTTAATAAATAGAGAGTTCTTTAACTTTGAATTATAGATCCCTTTATTTGCTTTATCATATAGGGTACGCAAAGCTAGAGTTGAGACTTTAAAAGTACATACACACATATACGTATATGTAGGTGCCTGCAATTTCATAAAATGTTTATATGAAGTACATACGAGTATAGTTAAATCGATGCTTGGAAATCTCTATTGTGACAAAAATTGCGTCATATTTGCGGTTATAAACAATAAAAAATTATGAATCTGGATCTTACTTTTATCTACATTTATGTGCATGTGTAATTCGCTACTCACGTATATTCATGTGAGTGTGCTTGTCTAGAATTCACATTTTTCAGCGTGCATAAACCAACATGACGAACCCCAGTAAAAGCTTAGGTGTACCTTTGCGTATATCAGCCAGGTGCGCATGCCCTTTTATTATCTTTGCAAGCCATCGCAATAATATTTACTGTGTACCTTTTCATATTTACTTAAAGGTGTTCCTACAGTTCACGTATTTTCATGTTTAAATATCGATAATATACGTGTAGTTATCGTTTTTTTACAAAGTTATCTACGTATGTACAAACGTAAAACAATAAAGAATACGAATATAACTTGATTAAATAACAAAAGTAGTTGCTTTTCAATCTAGCCCCAGTACTGAAAAATATAAAGGAGCCAATCACAAATCGGAAAATTTAAATGCCCATCTAAGATGATAATTGGTAATAATCGTTGGATTACAATACAGAAAAATATATCACTGAAGCTGCAATGTCTATCGAGCCATCTTTCGCGTTTGTTTGACGTATTTCTACGCCATTTTAGTTACAATATAAAAAAAAAACTTATTAATGGAATAATGGCTATCTGTATCTTCGTCACTGATAAGGAATAAGAACTAAATAATAAATTAGAACAACTGAAAAACTTGAGTTGCAAGATGGGGTATCTATAAATATAGCAAAAAAACTTGAGATACTTTTAAAATGTCCAAGAACAACGGTTCAGAAAAGACACAATGGCAAAAGGGTTAGAGATTTTATTTGATAATTTATACAATGATGAAGCGCAAGGGAGCTTTATCCTTTTTTTATTTTCTTCCTGCTAATAGATTTGTAGCGAATAAATTCAAAAGGTGATTGATTCGTAAGCATACCTGCTAATGTGTGTTCTTTTTACCTATTTAAAATAAATAATACATAATTCCCGATTTCAATATAAGAAAATTAATTTTAATGTAGGAAATGTCAAACATTAGCCTTCTTAATGAAATAATTAAATACAACTCGTTTACCATAATAAATATAAATGTAAATATAATGAAAATAAATTCAAAAACTGTATACGAAAATATATTGCGAAATAAGCTATGTAGATAAAAAATAATTTTTGCAATTTTTAATAAATTAAAAATATTCGAGCATATATATATAAACATATAAGCAGGTTCTGTTTTAGTTGTGAGCACGTGAGATTAATAGAATCGCCTCCAAATTTTTGGACTTACACATGTAGATATCCTGATAAATGTAAATGTTCATTTTTAATTAAAAAAATGGGCATATGTCTAAGAGGCCATGTGTTTTGGAGTAGGAATACACATACATAGATTTGTGCATACAGAACTCCTCCGTTCACACACAAAAAACATGAATATATGAAGTACTCACGATATCTAGGGCATATTTAAGCGCACGCCCATACATACAAACATTCACACACTTTATTTACATGAGCATTTTAAATATTAAAACCAACATTCTTAGCACGAGAGTGCGAAGTGTGTTTGTATGTAAGTAGATAAAAACATATATGATATACCTATAATTGTTTATACTTATGTGTATGTTAGATGTTTGGGTATATTTAATTTCCCCAATTTCCTTCCGCAGCTGGCTTATCAATTCTAAAACTTTTTGTTGCACAAAAGAATCTCTGTGCACACTAAATCCTAAAAAGCAAATACTTCGGTGTGGCAAGTGTAAATACTGTAAATATTATTTTTGTTTCTTTGTGGGAAAAGAAATTTAATGCAAACAACAGGTCCAAAGTTAGTTGGAATACAACTTTACAATTAAATGTCGAAAATGTGAGCTAATTTTAGTTCACTTTCATTTTACAATTTACCTTTCTGAGAAATTAATAATTACTGCACATACAACAATAGTGTTTATATATACATATGTGGTAATATGACAAGATATATTTCCATTGAAAGGTGTGTCGTAAATGTGTACTTATACATGAGTGTACATATTTATAAACAAACTCAGTTAATGGAGAACAAACAATAATTTTTTCCTTAAAACATATGTATTTGTCCAAGACCATAAAATAATTATTTAGTTCGAAATATAACAACAAGAGCATATGTATTTATTAGGTATACGTAGGCCTCACATTGTGACGTCCATATAATCAGGACAGTCAGTTTAGCAATTCATCGCATTTTTGGTATACCAAAACAATCCAAGTAAATTTCTTCCCTTGCTACCATAATCTTCCCCTTTTTAGCAACAGCTCATAGAATGCCATTATCGTAAATGTTTCTGTATCACTAGCAGCGAGGGTTCAAAAAGCAAGTTATAGAGTTTGGCCTTTGTTATACGAGTAGATAGTCCAGAATATCATTTATTGGCAACATTGTTCCTAGTAAAGAGTATCAAATTTTAAATACTTATTTCAATAAAACACACATAATAAAGAATATTAATTAGTATTAAAAAATTTAAAGCTGAAAATAAAGTTTTTTATGAAGCTTTCGTATGAACCGACCTTCACCAATTCAATTGTCACTTAAGTGACTTTCGGCCGAGTTTCTCTCCCGTTTTATACTCGTAGAGTTTGATAATGAACCAAAGAAATTATACATTTACGAGTATGTTAATCTTCATGATTTATAAAGTACTTACTTCAAATGTCATCTCGAACAAAGAATTGTAAGTAGAATAAATCTTAAGATTCTATAAGTGAATAACTTTACAAAAAAATTAATTTAAGCAAATTTAATAAACGATGTAGAGAACTTGACACACCGGTAACATTGTGTTCTTTTTTTTAATTTGTCCAAAAATTCAGTAACCGATATAAATTTAAATAGGGAAGGACAAATTTAAATTTTTCGTATACAAAAACAAATTATCGTTTCTTGTTCAAGTGTGATATCTACTAAAGGGCATTTAAAGTTGTTGTATCCAACTCAAATGCTCTAAATCAAACTGTCATAATAAAATATAAGTGTATAGTACTTCTGTGTGGCATTTTATTTAGTATAATATGCACTTCAAAAATTAAAAGAATCAAACCACTTTACCAGTAGCGATTTGTACATAAATTTTCATTCGTTTTAAAGTGCCGCGCTGTACATACTATATGTGTGAATGTGTATGCAAACATATATTACTGAATATCTACATGACACATGCATAAATTTTAATAATGATAACTTGAAGTGCCGTATTAACCGGCTTTTCGAAGACAAGTGCTATTATTCTCTACAAAAATTAATTTGTATCTATATACCTACATCGCATATGAAACATGCAAAATGTACAAAAGATAAAATGGAGATTTAGATTAGGAGATGAATACAAATGGCATAAATTTTCATATTAATTATACCACGAAGCAGTGAAAATTGAATTCGGACGGGACATAGTTCATATTGGCATACTGAATACTGAAAATAAAAGACTTTGATTTCGGTTAAAAAATTGTTTTTAGGATTGAAATGGCTCGACTCATAACGAATTTCTTCGGGACCCAAGGTAGATTACATAAATCCTTCACTATTAACAGAAGTGCAGACATTTCGTGCAAAATTGATTTTGAAAGACGTCGAAATCATTCTGCGGAGCATAAAACGTTTTTCCTACCAAAGTTCGAATACACATATAAAATACTTTGATACTCATGTATTAAGTCCACCACAGCTACGAGTTTGGCGGTTTTTAACATGAAAATTTCATCAAAAATTGTTTGGTCCAAATGTACCATGCAAGGGCTAGTCAGTGTTGGCCTGAGCAAAGGTTTATATTAAGCGCTTCGGCCGCGCATCAATTGCGACAAAGTATTTGTTTTTTTCCGATAATTTTAAATGTTGGTCATAGATGCAAGCTTCGTTATCTATTGGATCACAGTTGAAAACGGCAGTCGGTAAAGAGAAATGTTCAGTTATGAAGTAAAAAGAAAATGCTACTAATCTTGTTTACTCTAAAGGCCAAACAGTAGTAAATTTCTTTCAACCACTTCAGTTAGAAGCCCATATCACCATGTCCCGCTTTTGCGAAATCTGATGCCTTGCGTTTTCTTTTGTATTTTCTTCTTTGAAATTATATTTACATTTCCTCTATACTTCCAAAAGTTTCAGGCCTTGTTAAATTTGCTATAGGGCAATATTTACATGCGAACATTCATATACGTACATATGTACGTTCTCGTATATACTTTATTTGCTGTCACTTTAATGTATATTCATAATGGATATGCGCCTATTTCACATTTTGTTCATTTATTATTTTATAAACATTCATTTTCTTTTAGGTTGTCGTGAGACTGGCTTTATTTATGCCATCACCAGTGCCGCTGTCACACATTCGATTGCTCGAGCCTGCAGTGAAGGCTCCATTGAATCGTGCACCTGTGATTATAGCCATCAGTCGCGATCGCCGCAAACAAGCCACCAAGCTGGTAGCGTAGCGGGTGTTCGCGACTGGGAATGGGGAGGATGCTCGGACAATATCGGATTTGGCTTTAAATTCTCACGTGATTTTGTGGACACTGGAGAACGGGGACGCAATCTGAGAGAAAAAATGAATTTGCATAATAATGAAGCTGGTCGCAATGTAAGTATCGCTTTTCTTAAATGCGAATTCATTTATTCTTTTACATACAGAGGGTATAAATCTAATGAGATTTAATTGCCACAAATTTTAAATATTTAATTTAAATTACCTCTTTCATGTTTATTTCCTACTGATTTTTTAATAATAATTTTGTAGCTAATTTTGCTACTAATTTGGGAAATGAGCCGAAAGAATATAGACACACTAACATATGTATATTTGTAAATATAGACTTATTCGCATGTAAAAAAAAACTTTATTAAGAAAAAAATTATTTGATTCATCGCTTTTTTTAGCATTTATGTTAGTACTTATTTGCATACTTACAAACAATCACATACGTATGTATGTATAGATACGAGTATATGTATGGAATACATACAAACGCCTTTTCAGTCATATTATTGCAATCAAAATAAATATGGCATATGTAATGACATTTTTAACAGACCAAAGAAAACTTGCTTTTGGCTACCTACGGCAACAATAATAACTACAAATGTTACATATTTATAGCAGGCGGTATTTTTAATTGCAATAAGGCTTGATAGCGAATCTACTGTTACTTTTTATTGTAACTACACGCATGGGAACTTTAATGGATTGTTTCCAATTACATTAACCCATTATAATTGCATGTAAAAATATCTGTTAGTAAATAGGATTATGCTTTGTACCTCCTTTAAAAGCGTACGTATACAAATACATACCTATGTACTACACATTTTCTCTTGTATAGAAATAAAGGTAGCTATGCATATTTGAACTTAAATCGTAAAATGTGTAATAGTTCATTTACTTTTGATTTATATTTTTCCTTTTTTTTTTGAAGTAGTATTTCTGCTCCAATTTCATGGGGCGGTGAGTATGCATTGCTCTTCATTGCGCTTATTGAACACGCAATGCAAGTTGGTGGTCAACCGTTTCTTTTCCCACGTCTGCCACACACAGATTCGGCTCTTACCGTGTGGCTCGCTGGTAACCAATATTAATATGTTGACAGCATTGCTGATAGGAAAATTTAAGCGCTCGTAAAATCGAACGAAAGTTTTCAATGTAGCCAGAATGTGGTTTCAATACCCTCAACACATTGCTGTAACATCCAATGTAAGCCAAACCAAGTAATTTTTAACAAAATGCTGACGCTTCTCTAAGAACATCTAAACAATATTTGGCAATTTATAATTTTTACCACTGTTTAATGAACTTACGGGTATATCGATGTATATATATAGTTCCAATAACCTGTATTACTTTGTGTCTTAATGCGTTTTGTGATTTTCCGACCTCGTAAGAACCACTAATTGCTTGCGCAATTAATATTCGGTTGGATCATCTGTTCACTCTTCTTGTACATTTATAGACACAACCTCCTTTAATTTTTCTGCATACAAGAACAGTATATATTAACATACATACTTGTTATGTGTATAAATGGACTTACTTACATACATGTGTAACGTACTAAAGTAGCACTCACAAGAAGCGCTTTCTTGGGCTATTCCGATGTGTTTATACCTTTCATAAACGCAAGCTAAATTCATCGGTATGAGACTTATGTGAGTCTGTTTCGCTATGAACTACTATGAAGAAATCTATATGAGAATAAGTAAATGGACGTTCAGTTGAATGGCATCCAAGCTTATGTAATGGTCTGTCCGATCTGGCCGGACAAAACAAACGATGATTTCAACATATAGTTTTGAAAAGATCTCGAAAACTAAGCAATTACTTTTCGTGCAGATAGACGGACATGACCAGTGTAACTCATCCCATCACCTTAAGTCTTACGTATACATATTTTACGGTAGCTATAATTTGGGCTTCTAGTAGCATGTTATAGTAAAACTTTATATTCATGAAAGGCATATAAAATTTATAAAGAAGTCTACCTATACGTAGTACCACACACACATAAATGAGTATTGGAATCTTGAAATTAAGTTACATTCCCCTGTCAACTCACAACTTTTTCTGTTGCTCTCCATTTGCCGTTTAGTTTTTTTCACGTTGTTATTAATACGTAAGTTGCCACGGTATTAAGCTTTATTGATCGTGTTATAGAGATGACCTTCCTTATGTGGTGTTACGATGCTATTGCTGATGTTGCTGCTACTTTAGTTGTTGTGGAAATATCAACAACCGCATAAAAATTGGGCTCATGCTGTGCTGATTTTTTGCTTAATGCTGCACCAATCGCGTGAGTGACTTCGAGCATGTGGCATTTTCAAGAGGTCCAATGTGGATGTTTAAATGGTTGTATAAGGAAAGACGGAGATAACTCCAATGAATAACATAAAAAAAGTTGAAATAAATAGAAGAATTGTATATACACCATGTAACATAATATTTACATAATACAATATTTCACAAAATACTGATTTTTTAAGCTTTCATTTTCAATAAATGATATAATGTTCAATTTTCGAACTAAAATATGTTAAGTATTAAGCAAATTAAGGAAATTGCTATATACATATATATGTAAGGAAGAAACTGGGCTTTCTAATTAATGCAATACGAGTGAAGCAATTTGGTTGGAGATAGCACAGAAGGTCTAAGATCAACTGCTTTTGTGTATTAAGCCGCTGTTATTATTTTATTAATTTGTGTAGATGTTATTAGAGTATATCCGCTGTAAGTCAAGAAATACTCTCAGAAATATTTTCACTCTACATAAAACAATTTTTTTACCTTTGCTTAAATCAGATTTTCTGTTGATTAGTGGATAAATCATTTTTATTGCTATACTAAATTTATCGCTAACGTGGTAAATATGGTCACGAAAACACAATTGTTTTAGAACAACGCCAGGATATTTAATGGTATGTGGACATTGTATTTCATGTCAAATGATGTTAAGCAAAAACAAGGGAGTAACATAACTAGAAGTTACTTTTATTTTCTACCTATAAAAGTGGCTTTGTCATGCAAAAATAGTATTGTATGTATACTATATATATACATAAGTCTTGATGTTTTTGCAAGAAATAGAGGGACCTACAGTTTATACCAAGCTGCCTCCGAACGGCTGATGGTTTTTTGATGAGGATCTTTATTCCAAGTCAGAAATACACTCGGAGGGGTTGACATTCCCTGCTGAGAGTCGACCGAAATTATAAAATTTAGCTTAATTTTATATAACTTTTTTGATGTTAGTACGATACCAGGATTTGAACCCGAACCTTCCGAATGGCAGTACGCTATTTTAACCACTCGGCTACCGCAGCCCTCAAAATAGTATACCCGTAGAGCGGAAAATAAGCCAAACATTACATAAGACTGTTGTTTACAAAACCCTATAATAACAATAATTAGGTAAACACATTATTTTGCATAATTTTTGTTAGTTGAACTGCAAGGATTAGACCAATATGCTTTACAGTTAAACCTTTCTGTCAAAAATAATTGAAATCGAAAATACGGATTTCTTAATCAAATTATTTTTACTTACAATGGAAAACTTAAAATCGCAAAGCGGAGTCGATAAACATGTATATTAATTTAATATTTTTATTTTTAATTTTTAGCACGTTCAATCAGAAATGCGACAGGAGTGTAAGTGTCATGGTATGTCTGGTTCCTGCACTGTTAAAACTTGTTGGATGCGTCTCTCGAATTTCCGGGTAATTGGTGATAACTTAAAGGATCGTTTTGATGGCGCTTCCCGTGTTATGATGACTAACAGTTTGCGGCAAAATCGAAATTCTCTACAAAGTAGTTCAGCAAACACAAATACCATTGGAATATCTGGTCCTGCCATAAGTCCTAATGCAGCCAGCCCGAATGCTTTTAGTGCTGATCGCATGTTAAACGATCACACTCCTGATCATATATTAAAAACTTATTCAAGCAAACCTCCATCGAATACCATAAATAGCTCAAATAGTTTGCCCCGAAGTTTGGTCAGAAACCGTGTTCGTCAGAGGAAAAAGAACAACAGGTTAGTATCTAAATGTAAAAAACTAATAATATAATAATTGCTATTTCATAATTGATTATTCAATTTGCTTATACTAAGTATTTGTTGTTGGGGAAATAAAAACATTTTTTTGTGTTTAAACTTTTTAAAATTGATTTACAGCTGCAGCCGCGGTAGTCGAGTGGTTGCGTACTACTATTCTGAAGACTAGGGTTCAGGTTCTGGTTCGGCCAACATCTAAAATTTTATAAACTTAATTCTTCTAATTCCCTTGACTGGGAATGTCAAGCCTCCGAATGTATTTCTGAAATGAAATAAAAAGCGCCTAATACAAATTTATCGGCCGTTCGGAGCGGAGGCAGCTTAGAATAAACTGTAGGTCCCTCCATTTGTGGGGATAACATCAAGACGTAAAACAATTTGAAGGAGGATCTCGGCTGAAAAATTGTCCTTATACTTAGTCCACTTCTTACACAAATAACTTTGCGATTTTTTACGCTGTCAAATAATTTAGTGTGATAGTTTAATGTACGTTTCGACTTAACATAACCAGTTATAACATATACATTTTCCTTTATTTTTCTGTCCAGAAATAAATATATAATTAACATTATTTTTCGCTACCACATATTATTTTTAAAATGTTTGTTAAGCCATGGTAAAAGTTTAATAAATATTTCATTCCTTCTTAATTCACAGATACAATTTTCAATTGAAACCACAGAATCCCGAACACAAAGCACCTGGTCCTAAAGACATTGTTTACCTAGAACAATCACCAAGTTTTTGCGAGAAAAATCTTCGCTTAGGTATTCAAGGAACTCATGGACGTCAATGCAATGATACATCGATCGGAGTTGATGGTTGTGATTTGATGTGCTGTGGTCGTGGCTATCGTACACAAGTCATTGATGTCATCGAACGCTGTGCATGCACATTTCACTGGTGTTGTGAAGTCAAGTGTAAAACATGCAGAATGAAGAAGACAATACATACATGTTTATAAGTAATGACGTGAACTTTTCAAATCACCGCCCGATACCCATTCAAAGCTGCCTATGCCTGAATATTTTCTAAAGCAAAATTCAAACGTTTCAAAAAGTAAAGAAAAGGCTTATGGAATCTGCTCCGAATCATCACTAATAAATACTCAACAATAAGACATAGTACATATACGGCAAACTACTGCACTATACAGTTGCCAAGCGTAAGGGTAAACGGATGGAATGCACAGACAAACTAAAACAATAAGTGGAATAAAGTGTAGAGATTGAAGATACGTTGGCGCCTTCGCCGGTTGTTATACCCTGTTTATTTATTTATTTATTTTATATGCAATTTTAATTCTATTAACAGTTTATTTGTCATGGAAAGTGACAACGTGTTAACTGGCATTAATGTAAAAAACACAAAACTTGATCAGTATTTTTTTGGTGGCAATTTTTTGTAATATATACGAATGCATATTACTGTATATCACTCGAGTTATTGCCGATAATGGCTTTTGGCGTGACCAAATCTACCTGGAGAAAATTACTTAGAACGGAAGATTTCCATTCAAAACGTACCAATTTTTGTATGGACTCCCTCCACCTGAATATTTCTATAATAAGACTTAAGTGGTTATAAATTGTGAATACAGTTATATTTTTAATAATCATAAAAGACATATATTAAATATATGTTTAATATGATGTATGTATGTATTTTAATCCCGGAATTCTGCATAACGTAACTTCGTTTGTAATGATTTTGAGTTTTAATACGCTTTTAGTGAACTTATAAATTAGTTCAAACCTACCCATCTAAGCGACTGTAAACGCTTTCAATTTTCAGTATTAAATCAATAGAAATCGTATTATAAAATATAATATATATTTAGTTCTATATATAGTTAGTAATACAGTAAATAGAAGCTTTTTAAAAACAAAATGCTCAAAAAAATCCCAGTTTAATATTTTATAAGTGTCGTTATATTTATATGAATAGTATGTACATATGTATGAGTCTAATATAATTTTCCATTCTTGGTCTACAACGCACAAAAAAATTGGACTTAAACAAAGACTGAGAATTTTTAACGGACGTAAATAGGATTGTATCACTTCAACATTACATATTTGTAGATTTTTACAAAGTTCGTCTGCACTCTATTATGCAGCAAAGGCTGAAAATAAAAGTGATTAGCTTGTTTGGACCAGTTGTAAGTTTTCCGTATAACTGTTTTCTATCTGACGTTGAATTAAGCTTTAATATAATTGTTTTTTGGAACAATTATATACGAGTTTTGTATATAATCAGCGTCTTGTTACACATTGGACTTTTTTGCGAGTAGCTTTGAAGAGCATTTACCGATTACTCGTAGACAAGAGATAAATATGGTACGCTCATGACTCATCCAATTGATGGTGGCAGAGTACCTTTTGGGAATAAAAAAAAAATGCAGCAATCGTTTATCGCATAAGGATTTATTCTACATGGATTTTAAATTGAATCCTCTCCTGCTTGTTTTCCTTCCCCATGCACCATACAAATTAAGAGCTTTGCTTAAATAGTAAACTTCGTTTTGAATTTGAATTTTGTAGGTATTTCCTATAGCCACCGTTATTCATTAATATGATACAAAGTAATGATAAGCATGATAAATAAATTTTTTATGTATATGTATGTAGTTGTATACAAATGAAAATTTATTAGTTAAACATTGTTAATGACATTAAACATATAAAGAATCGGTACTTATTGACTATTATTGTATACATAGAATTTCCTAATGGGTGAGTATAAGTCCGCGACCGTTTTGGCGGAAATAGGGATTTCAACATTTTTCATAAACCATGTATAAACCATATCGACCAAAAATTCTAAAATGACAATTATTTGCTGCCGTTTTACTGAAGTCTCACATTTTTAAAACAATATGTGTGACAACTATATACAAATAAATAAATTATCTTCCTAGGGTATTTGAAATCTGTGACCTAAGCACAATTTGTATGAATCCAGGGTTAAGTTACTTATTCGTTACTGAAAGTCTTTATCCTAAATGTTATTATGAACCTCTCAAAGAAAAGTAAACGCCTCTTATTAACGCTAATGAACAATAAGGTTAAAAGTATGAGAATGGCTTCCAACCAAAATAAATTTAACCCTCAAAGTGAAATTATTCGCGTCATAATAACGTAGCATAGCGAGCATATCTACGCACGATCTACATTTTATATATCCAAATCATTTTTTTCCGGATTTGTCATTGATTTCCTTCCTGAAAAGATAGCAATATATAGTGTTATTCATTTTGCGGTTTCGAAAATGAAGGTAAATAAAATGCATTTAAAATAATTTTTTAAGAACTTCCTTTGTTTGAACCTTTGCATTATATTTATGTGCAATTCCATAAAAGTTTTTGCAAACTTCCATCCACTTGCAGTAATTTTTGATCACTTTTAGCCCATATTTTATGGTATCTTAGCAATAACTTGAGAAATAATGGGTTTCAAGTGCTTAAGTGTTAAAGGTTTGTCCGCATAAATACAAACTTTAGCGTAGTCCCATAAAAAAAGTCCAACGGTGTCTCTGGCCGGAAAATTTCTCTAACAATAAGGCCATACTCAGTTATGTTATGTATGTAGCATATGACACCTTCTTGTTGAAACCCCATATTGCCCAAGTTGTCCTATTGCACCCACGGACCAAAGAGCGCAACGGACAGTAAGTTTTTTTGGGTGTAATGGCCTCTCTTGAATTATTTGAGAATTCTCGGACCCCCAAATGCGACCATTTTGCTTATTTATTACCCCCGCATCCACTGCTTGTTGACGTTGTGAATGGTCAGCTGGTTTCAGTTGTTGTGAGAACTGGGCTTTATATGGATGCAAGTGTAAGTACAAGTCTTTGGTTACACTTTCACTCACGAGACATGAAAACGCTTAGGACTCTGAAGAGACTGAATCGAGAAAGCAGGTGAGCATGGCTTCTTGCAGCCCAGTGACTCTCCTCTTTAAATAAGCCATTATTAACGTAGGGAAATCCGAAGGAACCTGGTCGTCAGAAGTAGATGTCAGAGTTTTAGGTAAGAGCCAGAATTCTTTTTCTTTTCTGGATTAGTTGCGGACAGGACTCACCGCTACTTTTCGAGTTTTTAATTCAAAGGTAAGTGGTATGGCACATATCCTTGTAGAAGTATATAACTGATCATATTATATTGACTTCGAAGCACACATTGAGGGTGCTCAGCTTCGCCAGCTGCATCGAAACAGGACCCAAATATTTTAAGTGCCGACCTCAGAACGGTTTCTTTTAGTACATTCTGCAGTTCAGAAATAAAAATAAAATAGGAAACCGCATTATAGCTAATTCTTGCGTATACACTAAGTACATGGATAGGGGCTAAGCAGGTCTTTATCCCGAAGGAGGAAGTATTGTGAGATAAATCGGTTAATACCGCTCTTCAACTCAAAAAATGCAATATAAACGAGACCATACTAAGATTCAATTTATAGAGCGAGCTTTCAATAATGCCAACACCAATACATTGTCAGTTGCTTCGTTTGAGTTCAACCTTATTCAACTCATTTGTCCTATATGATACTTTGATAAGCCATCCAGTTCAGTTGCTCGCAGAGGAAAACTTAATGAGAGTGCGACAAGCGGATCACCTTGTCATTCCAATCGTCACTTATAGTCTCAGCGGGTTGAGTTGAGGTCTACTTTCTAGCGGTAAAGAATAAACTATCCAATTTAACCCACCATCGCTAAAGGGTTCCTAGACTTTAGAACTCAAACTGTGAAGGAAATGGAAACATACCCTGACTAAACGAAAAATGTGACTGAGCAGAGGAAATTTTCGGCTAGGAGCAGGGCACCTAATTAATGCCAAGCGGTCGATATCAATTGGGCTTCAACTTTTCTAAGGAAACCTATTTATTTGCAGTAAATAGCCAAGCGGAAATTAAGCAAATTAAATGTGTCAGCACCAGAGACCACTGTGAAAAGGCTTGCACTGTTGCCGCCGCTCACCGGCGACTACTACAGACCTTTCAGCAGTGGACCCTAGAAGAACACTTAGCGTCGTTAGTCATTAATTTAGTTTTGAACTTACACAATATGGTATGGAAGCTTTGTAGCAAATATCTTGTTTATAGAATCTTGTTTTCAAATGCAAATTATTATACATTTAATAATAATTTCTTCATAATAGTAATAGCAAGACGGGTATAAAAATGTTCATACGTTAAAGCACAATAGATTGAAATGACACCGACTTTATTTAATTTAATAATGAGGTTGAACATTAAGTGCCTTACGATTGTTTTGCCTAAAAAGGCATTCTCATAATTCACTTTTAACCAAAGAAAGATACGAATGCGTGTTCATCTCAAACTCATCCATTCAACAAAATTAGCAAATTATATGTGTCAGTTCGAATTCAAATAACAGCGACCTGCTCAAATAATTTTCCTTCATTGCTTGATTGCATATTTGTTGAGTGGACAACTTTTTAAGTTCATGGAAGGAGAATTAAGATTAATCCACAATGAACTCATCGTTATCAATTTGTTAACATATTTAATGATATGTCACCGCACAACACAGCAAGAAGACGCCCTTAATAACTATGCCCTGTGAGAAAGATACAGGTAAAATGATTAATATACACATGACTTTCCGTCAGAACCGATAAATTTTGTGACCGTTTTTTAAATTCTACAAAGTATACAAGGTACATAAACTTCGGTTAAAGAATATCCGACCGGACACATCTGAATATTTAAATATATGTGAGCTAAATGATATGGACCTCTCGATTCAATAGAGATCACGAAAAGTACTGATGAAGAAGCAGCAAAGTCTCTCGGAATTACCGAAATCAGTACGAGGGGACCAGTGACGGAAACTCAAGCTATTGAAATGGCCAAATCAGACATTTAAAGCCCATATTAATTTTTGTTCATACTTTGCGAATAGCAATCATTTGAAAACAAAAATACGTTCTACAATATTAGAAAATAAAACAAGACCAGCAATTTCTTTTCAACGGAGTGGAGGTCTCCCTTTCCCTCTATTTACAATCGGGTGCTGCATCGAATAC